CGACTGGAGTGTTCTAGATCGGTTAGTACCTTCGAGAACTTTGTTTTGTTTTTTATATTGTCTTTACCGGTGGACGTCAGCAGACTTTTGATAACTCAATTATCAAGCATATTTTTTCAATGCTAGTCGAACTTTTTTACTTGTTAGAATGGATTTTTTAATTTCTTTCAAATTACACGTTTTTTTACCGATGGACGTCTGCATGATTTAAGAAGCTGAAAATAAAATTGAAATTATTCCGAACGCTCGGTCGGCGTCTTTACATTTAGCCTAAACGCACATCTGGAAATGAGCGATTCACTTTTGCACATATAAATGCGTAATGTGAATATCCGTTTATATGCGATTTTGAGTATCTACTTAAATTCCAATAATTCAAGTAATTGTGCAACGATTTACCGTACTAACAACACAGGTATTAGCCAAAAGCCCATGAACAAATAAAACAACCGCCTCTACTCATGTATACAATGATAAAATAATCCAGTTTTACTAAACGTCATTTGTTTAATACGATCGAACGCTTGTTGTTACGGCCTGACGGACATATTTATCCCTGCAAATTTCGTTGGCATACGCCATCCTTAACATCTAATCATGCTTGTCACATTGAGCCGACATATTGCAAAGAAGGGATCCTTATCGGGAAACGAAGCTAGCTGCATTTATTACTCATAAGTGTTAAGCAGAACTATTGAGTTTATTGACGTCCTTTGGTAGGCAATCTGAGCGAGATTTGTTGCTCTCTCCACTTTCCTGCTTTGACATTAAAATATCTGCACAAAATATTTATCACATAATGACTAGAATGATTTAATTTAATATCATAATTCGCTATACCCTGATTGCGTACCCTCGTCCATACCCAAAATTTTCCAAACGCTTTTATTACCAAAAAGATAATGCGTAAAAATATTTGCAAGGAAAACTAGCATGGATAAAAAAACGAATTCTTCGGCATGTCCCATCTATTAGAAACAGCACCCACATAAATTGTCTGACAAAATTGCAGGCGTGTTTTCAAAGAAACAAGGTAAATAGGCCGTGCTGACAGAGTACCCAGTCAGGTTAGCCCTGGCGATTTGACCTAGAGACACTGCTGACCTCATAGAATTTGCTACAGTAAGGTAATTTGATGGTATGTTAATGAATTATTTCTTATTGTCATTGAAGTCGCCGCTTCTCCGCTAGGATAGAGCAACGTTCTTTACGGGAAATTCCAAATTCAAAGGCTTTAGGCAGAGTGAGTGTTTTGTTACACAAGGCAACGTCAAAAAAGGACATCGGCAGCAGCAGCAGCAGCAGCAGCAACAGGACCACGCCGCCGCCGCCGGCACCACCACCACCATCATCATCGTCATTGTCCCTACCTACAGCAGCCTCCACAATACCCGATCATTAACGTCCGTCAGTTTACTGCGGCCGATTCTATCAGAAGGTCGGTTTTTGGTACCTGATTGTGGCTGCATCTGCTATTGCTACCAGGCGCTGGCACAGACGCTTAATGTACCTCGAGGCAACCCTATACATTGCACGAAAACTTCCTTGGGATCAATACGATTATCACAAACAACGATACACGCAAGAAGCCTGTCAGCATACCCGTTTTCGGGAAGAAGTTCTGAATCTTACTAAACTCCTCTTCAATGCTGTCTGTCGAACGTATTTTTTGATGTCTTGATTTACAGAACGCTTGATGGAACAATTCATAAAAGTATGGTTCGAGAGAAAACATGAACAAGGCGATACACATAATTCTACAGTTTTGTCTCCCTTAGTCGGAAACGAGGCTTATTCGCCACTTTAACCGAGCCAGGACAATATATGTTCCAGATACGCTGGAGGACGAAATCAATATTTATGCTAAATGTACTGTCAGGAAAGGGAATTTCCGAAAAATATATCAGTTGATACGTGAAAAAACGTCCCGCAAAATCTGGGGCATCGACGGTTGAGTAGAAGGAGTTATTTCGCAGACTGCCATTTGGAGGGGATCCGATGAGCGAACTATAACATTGTTGCTTAGATGCTGTTATTACGCACACGTGCGCATTCGCTAAAAGACTACTTTTCACAAGAATCCCACTTCTTCGCCTTGAAAATGAGAAAAGATTGTTCTTTAAGATCTCTTCGATTTGCATGTAAGCCTTCACGTGGCCGAACAACAACTGGGCGCCCATCCAAGCGGATGCGAGATTATCATCCTGCCCGGATAAATCAGCCTATAAAATGTGCATCTCTAGCGCAACTGTAGCCCGCCTGGTTGAGAGCGGACAGTGAGTAGACGCCAACAAATCATACCGATTCACCTATAAATTTGCCGCCGCAGGGGAGACTTGTGACGGCAGAGGAAGTGGCAATAAGGATAGTCGATCCAAGCTTGTGCTCGCATAAAGCGTTTATAAAGGCACCAAAGCTCCCCTAACCAAAAACGAACCCGGTAATTTGTTTACATTTCTTGCCATGTCGCGTTTCAGCGACGAATCAGAAAGGTAGCTAATTGTTAGTCAACATCCCCTTTCCTTCCCCCCCGTCCCTTAAGCCATGATACCACCAGGATATGACTTCTGACCACTGAAAACCCTCATCTCTCTCCGCTTTACTTATTCTTAATTGGCTGATTAAACTTTCTGTTGGGAATGCATACACTCCCAAAAACAAGAGCCAGCCAATCACGCGAGGCCACTTGCGTTTTGTCTACTACGCTGTCATCTTAATCTTGGCGCCTCTCCATGTGCTTTTCCTCTCAGGACTGATCAATCTGCATATTCGAATTATCGACCGGCTCGTCGGGAATGTTCTTCCCGAAGGGCATTGGGCCGAGTGCCGACGAAGCACAGTAAGGCGTTATACATATGCGTTACTTCCAGTTAATTTTGACTTGCAATTTCCTAATGCACATTTTTGTGGTCTGTCGCGTTCTTCTTCGCTGCCGCGTTGGTATTGGGGAAAAGGGTCGAGTGAGTATACGCTCTATGGGATTTCAAGTACCAGGCGGGTCATAACAAATTAGCGACGCCGTTTTTCAACTACAATGGCTGACGAGTACGCCGACTTTAATCAAATGTTGCAGCAACAGCTGAAGCTGATGGAGGCTCTGACCTTCAAGCTATCCAATTCATCCATGGGCTGATCAAGCGCGGCTGGTGGTTCACAGTTTGTGAATCACATTGCCAGCAGCATCACTGATTTCTTGTATGACCCGCAGGCCCATATTCCTTTCGATTCCTGGTACAAACGATAATAGGACTTGTTCTCAGTCGATCTGGCAGCTTAGAACGATGTATGGAAGGTTTGACTTCTACTTCGTAAACTGGGTCCGACAGAACACGAGCGTTATGCCAACTTTATCCTCCCCAAGGATCCCAGAGAAGTCGCTTTCAAGGACACGGTTCAGACGTTGTCGCAGATTTTTGTGACCAATCATCTCTTTTCAATACTCGATTTCAGTGCCTGCAACTGTGCAAACGAGCTTTCCGATGATTTTATCACGTATGCGGGCATTGTCAGTCGTGAGTGTGAGCGTTTCCGACTCTGTTCTCTCACTGAAGATCAGTTAAAATGCCTTATATTTATCTGCGGCCTCCAGTCCCCCCAAGGATGCTGATATTCGGACACGCTTCCTGTCCAAAGTGCAGCAGAACAACTCAATCACACTCCAAGAGCTGACAGCAGAGTGTTAAACGCTGATCAACCTTAAAGCACGACTCTGCAATTATTCAGAACCCTGCCTTATCTTTCTCAGGAAATCCGGTCACATCGACCAAATCGCATCCTGTTACACGACCCAAGGAAGTGCACAAGACGAGATCTCCGCCATCTCCTTGTCAACACTGCGGCGCGTGGCATTTCCACCGGGATTGCACTTTCCGCCAGCATTGCTGTCAAAGATGTAATCAGGTGGGACACCGTGATGGGTTCTATAAATCAGTACCAGCTTCTGCAGGCAAGCCAGCCCCCGCCACTCCTAATTCCAGGCACCGTTTCCAGTCAAAACGCAAGCCCAAACCCTAGTCCCTTGGTAATTCTCTGTCTCTTGGCTGCTTTCCAGCTCAATGCGTCCGGTCGTAGAAAATGTGTTGACGCTTTTCTCAATGGCCATGCAGTTCCAATAGAAGCGAAGAGACGAGTCCCAGGAAGCAGTCTTGAAGATCGTGTCTTCTTCAAGGCCATGAAGTTTGCCTACAGTTGTACACTGTCTCAGATATCACCATAATCTCTGAGAAACTCTGGCAGTCCCTTGGCAGCCCAACGACGCAGCAGACATCCTAGTCCGCTACAAGCGCGTGCAGTACTCTCGTTCAGCTAATTGGGCAACTGCAATGCTGTGTGTCGTTCCGCGGTACCAGCTTCACTGTGATCTGCTACATCACCAAGTCTGACCTCAACCTACTTGGTCTCGACTAAACTGAACAACTTGGGTTGGCCGATATGTCGCTCCGAGTTGTTTGCCGTCAGGTGCAGATTCCCGCTGTGTTTGCAGACTGCGCCAAGGACATTCTCTAACGGTTTGCTCCAGTGTTCCAAGCCGGCCTGAGTCGTTGCACATACACTCAAACCGTGCTACATCTGTCTCCTGGAAGTCAATCAATCTTCCGTCCAAAGCGACCAGTCCCATATGCAGCTCTACCACTTGTCGAGGCTGAACTGAAGCGTCTAGAGGAATTGGGAGTTTGGGTTCCTATATTCTACTCCACCTGGGTCGCTCCAATCGTTGTGATTAAGAATCCCAGTGATTCGATTCGCATTTGTGCTGACTTCTCCACCGGTCTCAATGCCGCAATGACGCCGAACTGCCATACAATGCCGTTTCCGACTGATCTTTTCACTCTGCTGAATGGCGGCACTTGCCTTGCCAAGTTAGATGTCACTTATGCGTTTCTGCAGATCGAGGTCGCTCCAGCGTCGCGCGAATTGTTGACCATCAACACCGCGGTCTGTTCCAGTATATCAGGCTGCCCTTTGGTGTCAAGACCGACCCGGACCTATTCCAACAAACGATGAACGCAATGCTCTCCGGCATCCCTGGCACAACTGTGTACCTGGACGACATCATCATCGTTGGTCGCTCCCCTGCCGAGCTGCAAGACCGAGTGTGCGCAGTACTCGAACGCGTACAGGAATATGGCTTTCGCCTACGGGCCGACAAGGGCCAATTCTTCCTCGACTCCATCAAGTACCTTGGATTCGTTTTTGACGTCACTGGTCACCATCGAGATCCTGAAAACATTCGGGCCATCCAAAGGATGCTTGCACTCAAGAATGTATCGCAACTTCATTCGTTCCTTGGCCTGATCAGCTACTGTAGCTCCGCCCTACCATCGCTGCATGACGTACGGGCCCCGCTTAACCGTCTGTTGCAGACGGATGCTCCTTGGTGCTGGTCCCCCTACTGTAAAAAAGGCCTTTGCTCAGCTAAAGTCGACGCTGAGTTCAGATCTGCTGCTCACGCACTTCGATCCGACGCTGCCGATCGTGGTTGCTGCACATGCTTCCAACCACGAAGTTGGTGCCGTCATCTCACATACTTTTCCTGATGTGTCTGAAAGGCGATCATGCATTCATCTCGCACGTTAACCCCTGCGGAGAAGAACTACGGGCAAATAGAGAAAAAGGCCCTAGCCTTCGTGTTTGCCGTCAAGAAATTTCACAAACTGTTTTTTCGTCGCCACTTCAAGTTGTTGACGGATCACAAATCATTGCTGTCAATCGGTTCGAAAACGGGCATTCCCGTCCACTCAGACAGCCGACTTCAGCGATGCGCAATCAGCCATCTTGGTTACGATTTTGAAATTCGCTACAGTCAGGCCGACGCCCTTTCTCGCCTCATCAGCAATCAGCAGGAACCGGAGGAAGATACCGTGATTGCCGCTATTTCGATTGAGGACGATGTGCACCGTCAGCTATCAGACGCCATAAGAGGTTGCGTGTTCAAATCACGTCGGGGTCACCAATTTGTGGCGGCCAAGGATGTGAGATCGACTTAAACCACGCACAATAAGTTCGTTTCGTCCACTGTCAGAAGTCAGGCAGTTGTGAGGACTAGTTTAATCTGTACACAGGGCAGGTTGCCGTAAGTTGGCGATTTGCTTGCAACAGAAAAAAAGCGTCCGTGCACGGAGAGCATCATTCACGGTGTGTGTTGTTTACGCGGGTGTGAGTGTCTAGGTCAGCAGGAGGGGGTGACGGTCTGCGTGGTGGTCGTGTGATTGGACACATTAGGGGACGAATGGAGGGCGTATACTCACAAGGCCTCACGGGAATCATGCCAAAGCGTTCGACGCGCGTTAGGTGATACTAGTTTGTGAGTGCAGCCGAGGGTCACTGCAGCTAGACCGGAGGTATCCCAGTTCTAGCCGGCGGGGGTGGTCGCGTGTCAGCGGCCTGTCAGTGCTTATCGCGGCCATCGACCGACAAAACGGAGCCGGAGAAAAGGGGGGGGGCTGGAGCGACTGCTACAAGGTATCCCTGTCACTGCCGCGGACATCCGACGTGCTACTGAACAGGATCCTGTCCTCCATCAGGCCATCACCTACGTGCAGACCTGCTGGCCAGCCACTGCTCTCGCTGGTGATCTTCGCCAGCTCTTCCTCCGTCGAGCATCGCTATCTGTGTTAACTCCTGCCTCATGTTTGCGGACCGTGTTGTGATCCCATATTCCCTCCGACCCACTGTACTTCGCCAGTTCCATGCCGCTCATCCTGGTACCAGCCGAATGAAGTCGATTACTAGCAATTTTGCTTACTGGCCGGGTATCGACGGCGATATCTACGACCTGGTTCGACGCCGTCTCGATGTCAGCAAGCTGCCAAGATGCCGCCTTATAAACCGCCAGTACCCTGGCAACCACCGAAGAGGCATTGGTCACGCGTGCACATCGACTTCGCTGGCCCACTTAACGGAGTCTCCTACCTAATCTTGGTTGACGCCTACTCGAAGTGGCCCGAGATTGCTCCGCTGAATCCAGCAACGGCATCTGGCACTGTCGCCTTCCTACGACACATCTTTAGCCAGCATGGCTTACCAGAAGTCCTGGCTTCAGATAATGGTTCTGAGTTTACATCGTCGACGTTTGAGAATTTCTGCCGCCAGCACAACATCCAGCATCTACGTTCGCCGCCGTACCATCCTCAGTCTAACGGTCAGGCGGAGCGTTTTGTCAACACTTTTAAGAGAGCCCTCGTAAAAGCTCGTGGGGAGGTGAACAGGAACGAGATATTCCAGGCGATCCTGTTTTCCTACAGGACAACACCGAACCCGGCGTCCTCTGGTGGCGTTTCTCCTGCCGAAGCGTCGATGGGCTGAGAACTGCGTACAGCATTTCATGTCCTCGTCCCTTCCGGTGCGCAGCCCGCGCAGACTTCTCCAGTCTCTCGCAGCAAGCTCGAGCGGGGTTCCCAGATTGGATTGAAGCAACTTTAGTAGCGCACAGAGGCAGTTTGTTGTTTGACGTCGACGTTGGTGATGACATCTGGGCTCGCCATCACAACCAGATCCGACGGCGACACTGCAGTAACAATACTGTGCTCATGTCGGCGCGGTCACTCCTCCTTGACATCCTACTCGAAACCTTCGCCATTCCGGCAGATCGGTCGGTTATCGAACCCACTGTTGCGCCCCCTTCGGATATTCAACCTTCGGTATCACTCACCGCTCCCGTGTCTCCAGGCAATAAACCACGACTAAGACGCCGGACCAACCGCGTACGCCGATTAACACGGCTGATGCAGGTCAACCCACGCCAGAAGCGGTACTGACCTACTTGGAGGGGAGGTGTTGGAAGTGCCTACGCTCCCAAAAACAAGATCCAGCCAATCACGGGAAGCCACGTGCGTTTTCTCAATTGCGCTGTCATCTTAATCTTGGCGCCTCTCCATTGGCTTTTTGTCTCGGGCCTGATCGATCTGCATATTCGAATTATCGACTGCCTCGTCTAAAATGTTCTTCCCGAGGGGCATTAGGCCGAATGACGATGAAGCACAGTAGGGCGTTATAAATATGCGCTACTTCCAGTTAATTTTGACTCGCAATTTCCTAATACACATTTTCGTGGCCGGTCGCGTTCTCCTTCGCTGCCGCGTTGGTGTGGGGGACAAGGGTCGAGTGCGTATACCCACCACGGGATTTCAAGTACCAGGCGGGTCATAGCACTTTATCTGCTCTACCCCTCTTTTATACTACTGTATCGGTCTGATTATACATAGTAAATAGTGTACATGTGCTGAATCTGACTTCTTCAGATAGTGTACTATCGAATTACTTTACTGTTGCATGACATGTTTTCGCGGTTACACATGTGGTCATTTCTAGGCAATTTATGAAGTCTGCAGTGTCTGTTGGTCAATTTTCTTGTCCTAAGCTGATTGTGTATTCTGTCAGCACGGCCTGTTCACGTAGTCTCTTTGAAACGGCGTCTGCAAGTTTATCGGGGAGTTTATGCCTTTGCAGTTTCTAATAGTTGGGACATGCCGAATAATACTTTTTTTATCCATGCCTAGTTCTCTATGCAAAGATTTTTGACGCATTATCTTATTGGCAATAAACCCGTTTGCAATATGTTGGGTATGGACGAAGGAACGAAATCAGGGTATAGCAGATTGTCATATTAAGGTAAAACCTTCTAGTCATTATTGCATAAATATTCCGTGCAGAGGTTTCGCTGTCAAAGCAAAAAGTGAAACCACGAATCTCGCTCAATTTGCCTGCCAAAGGACGTCAATAAATTCAATATTTCCGTTTGACATGTAGGAGTGATAAATGGAGCTAACTTCGTATCCCGGTAAAGGCCCATTTTGCAATAAGTCAGCTCAATGTGATAAGCATGATCAGATGTTAAGGATTGTGTTCGGAATAAATACGTCCGTAATGCCGTAACAACAAAAGTACTATCGTACTAAACAAAGGACGTTTGGTAAAACCGAATTATTTTATCACTGTAAAAACGTGTAGAGCTGAGTATTTTATTTGTCGGTTGTGGAGCTTTTTAAATAATGTGGTGTGATCCGGAAGTGTGGAGTCCCAATGCTGTCTTCAGTCGTCATGCTTGGCAGCACAATGTAAGCATCAAGGAAATTTAGTTTAAAGGTCGGTGAAACATTGACAGATACCTAAGTTAGTTTATACGTCTTAACAGTTTTCTTCGAAGTCCCATCAAGTTCGTGATCAGTTAATGCGGTTAACATAGGAAGGGTAATTAATGACTGCAGCCTCCCAAACTGATCGACCTATTCTGGGTAAATTTTATGCTTGTCTAGTACTGTGGTATGCGTGCGGTCTACATTGTTTGCCGTTGGAACTTTGTGGACAAACTAACTAATGGCAATGAGCAGTCAGTTGGACTAGCATGTAATATTGCTTGAATTTTTGGAAATTAATGAGACACCAAAAACGCGCTTATATCCGCTTTTCAAAATACGCGTTTAAATGTGTGGCAGCGAGTGCTTATATTTCAGATGTGCGCATTAGCAAAAATAAGAACACTGGCCGAGCCACCTGGACAAATTTATTTTTATGTTGAACTTCTCAAATCGTGCAGACATTCATTAATAAGGATAGGATGGGCAAAAAAACACACGACAGTTATCGAAACTGGTAGCCAATCTGGAACATTCGCCACCGATCTGCCGGCCACTAGAAAGGGCTCGGAAGACCGGCGCCACATCTATACGCCGACTGACTGAGTTATCATCTGAGACAACCGATTCAATCGATTCTCCCCCTGTTTTGCTGCTTACGTGGGCGATTTTTTTAGCGGAAGCGGACTTCGACTTTTAAATACATCCATCTTGATAAATTATAAATTGGGATGGTTTTTAGGGCGACGACTAATCGCATTAAACACTTGGTTTATGGTTTTTATGGTAAAATATACAACAGAGTAGTGTCAGTTACTTTCACTTTCATTTTTGTGTGCTGGTATTCTCTAAGCGGCTTATTTAATCGATCTGTCACTGCACTGTTTTGTGAGTTCTGTGCTGGTATGTATAAGTCTCTGTCATAAAGGACTATCTTAACGTTTCCAATATCTCATCGACTGTCCAATGTAAATGACTGCCAGAAAGCGTTTATTTCAAACTGCCCTTACATACTCAAAAAAACCCTCTAATGAATATTGCCATGTCCATGTTTTCTCTCGGAGTACACTTCTACGAATTGTTCCATGAGGCATTCTATAAATGAAGACATCAGAAATATATGCTCGACAGACAACGCAAGAATGTGATCATACATTGCGAAAACCGCATAATCAAAGCCACCGACATTGCCCTGTTGTATATTCCTCCGAAAAACCATAAACTAAGTGCTTAATGTGGTCAGTCGTCGTCCTAAAAACCATACCCATTTATAATTTGGCAAAATGGATGCATATAAAACTAAAGTTTCTTCAAGTCATTTGGACTACAGTGCATGTGCCATCTCAAATGTTTTCCTGATTAGAAATGGTTACTTTAGTAGAGTCGTGAGACGAACAGTCTCGCCGCATTGTCACAAGATATTTCAGTAAAAATTACGTGCCGGCTTTCGAATGACATTCTTTTCGACAACTAATAAAGAAGTAACTCTGTGAAAATAAGCTGTATAAATGGTATGATTATCCGGTCGATTTTCGGTGCTCTAAAACGTTTGAATGTATTTTATCGAAAACATGCTTAAAAGTATTTTCGTGCTCATTCTGTAGAAAATTGCGTCTTCTTTATGGGTTTGAATTTAATACTGAGTATTTTGCGCATTCAAAACGTCTGTTAGGCAATTTTTGAAATCGCAAATAATATATCACATAAATCATCCTATCTGTATACTTACTAATGCCACTTGCAAAGTATGAATCTCACATTCCAAAAATGTAACGGATGTATGTGACATCTTATATGCGTACATAAATGCGTGATTTTACTCATAGGGAAGGCATCAAACGCAGAATACAAGTGAAACGGCCTGTCAAATTCAAATTTATTGAAAAATTCCGCTTTTTCGATGACGAAGAATCTCTTCTGTGCAAGTACTATCAACCCTTTAATCCTCCGTAATCCTTTGATGCCGGAGCATAAGTTCGAACGAGATTGTGGTCCCTGACGGATTCATATTCATTTCCCCGAGCTTAGCGTAATAATCGTGCAGAGAGCATCTGAAGACATACGACGAGAACCGAAATTCACTGAAATTTGAGCACAATATACGGCTGTTCGAATTCTCTCAAAATACCTACTTCAGAGTTGCTGAAAACTCTAATGAGCTAACAAAGAAAACTCCAATGGGCTTAACGATCTCCGGTTTATTTACACAACCGCCCTTTCACAAACTAGAAAAAATGCGTTAACCTAGCATGGATGGGTATTATGAAGACGCTATGTTGACGACACGTTTGTCATCCATATTGCCCCAACTGTGGAAAACTCGACGCCCCGGTGCCATTCGAACTCACGGAGTAAGACGTAGGCTTAAGTACTGCCAACGCTCAAACCATTTGAGCAACGAGACCCCGCCAGACGACGCGCGTTCTATCAAATTTCGCTCAAGTTGCCCGCCCAACCTACTGCAACGTCTGGAATCCACCAAATCGAATACAGTAAGTTGACTGCACTAAGGAATCCACCCAGAAGCCACCAAATGACTATCCGGCCCACGTAATTCATAGATGTTTTTTGGCACGTTTGTCAGTGCAAAGAACGACATGCCCCAGAATTCCCTTCACCTGCCCCACGTAGTTTCCTATGATATACAAGGCAGACGGAAAGTAAATAAGCAGAAACTGCTTGTTCTTGGCGATTAAAAGACGGCAATGAATGCCATGCAGCTGCTCAGCTTTCACAGCGCTCTTCAACGAAACCAGAGTTATTGCAGACAGCCAGAGAGAGCAAAGCGGGAGGCCCGTGAATGCAAAATAGCAACTCGAAGGCTTTTATACGACTGTGCCCTTGCATGTTCCCTCGGAACACTCGAATTACAACACTCTGAAGGATATAAGATTACAGTATATGTGCTTACTAATGAAATGTCAACCGAAATTTCGTAATGCGTTCTCGTTTCGAAAAGATAAATTAAATAATGTTGTAAAACTAATCATGATGCAACATAAATCTATAATGATCCAGTTGCCTCAGGGAGTCGGATTTCGAAAGAATTTATTTTCGGTTGCATGCAAGATCGATACTCTGTAAAAAAATATCTTCATACGTTGCATGCAATTTTCTCATTGATTTTCGATGCCCTTGAAAATTCAATTATATTTCATAGAAAACATGCACAAAAATATTCATTCTTTTTCTTATTCGGTATAAAATCATGTCTTCTTCCAAGTTCATACTTAAAAGAAGAGTATAATTTAGTTTTAAAAAAACTTTTCTAATTCCCGAATAATTTTGAACCCGACCTGCTGTTACACTTGCATTCAGGGTTTCAAAACTACAAGCTGTATATTTTCCGTGTGCGGAAAACCGTGCATTTCTCTACGGTGTTAAGAGGAAACCATATGGGGTTCGTGAAATTCAGCAGTGGATTTGAGCAATATTGTTAACTTTACAAGCCACATTCGTAAATGCAGATACATGACATTTCATGAACGGCTACTTTACGGTATTAAAAAATCTCATAATTAGAAACTTTTTAAAAACCGAATTATACTCTTCTTTTGAATATGAAATTGGAAGAAGACGTGCTTTTCTACCAAACAAGTGAAACAATGAATATTTTTATGCATATTTTCTATGAGGGATAATTGGATTTTCAAGGGCATCGAAAATCAATGAGTAAATTGCAT